CACCTTTCCTGGAACTCACTTGGTAGCCCAGGCTGGCCTCGAACTCACAGAGATCTGCCTGGCTCTGCCTCCCGAGTGCTGGGATTAAAGGCGTGGGCCACCACTGCCCGGCTGGACTGGACATTCTTAACATATATAATATAGTTTTTTTGTCTGAACCTGTCAAATGTTAGTGGACTAGACACTTTTAATATAATTCTTGACTGTATATATTGTATATACTTATTGGATATAGTTTTTCTTGTCTTAGTTTTAAGCTTTTTCAAATTTTAGACAACTAAGTGGAAATGTGGTGATACTGTGTCCCCCAATATATTGTGCACCTTAATAAACTTATCTGGGGTCACAGAACAGAACAGCTGCTAGATAGACATAGAGGCCAGGCTTGGTGGCACACACCTTTAATCCCAGCACTTGAGATCTGGTGTTTTTGCTTAGGAAAGCACAAGCCTTTAATCCCAGGAAGTGATGGCAGGGCAGAGAAAGGTACATAAGGCGTGAGGACCAGGAACTAAGCTGGTTCAGCTGAGATCCATTTGGATGAGAACTCAGAGGCTTCCAGTCCGAGGAAACAGGTTCAGCTGAGGAATTGGCGAGGTGAGGTGGCTGTGGCCTGTTCTGTCTCTCTGATCTTTCAGCGTTCCCCCCAATACCTGGCTCCGCATTTGTTTTTATAAATAAGACCTTGCAAGATTCCTGCTACATTGCTCTCTGTGTCTTGGCTGCAGATGCAATGTGTCTGTCTGTTCTGGAGCCTCTTCCCTGTGGTGGTATTGTGTTCTCCAAAATATTATGCACCTTCATAAACTTATCTGGGGTCAGAGAACAGGACAGCCACAATATTAAACATAGAGGATAGGCAGTGATAGCACACACCTTTAATCCCAGCATTCCAGAGGCAGAAATCCCTCTGGATCTCTGTGAGTTCAAGGCCACATTGGAAACAACCAGGCATGGTGACACAAACCTTTAATCCCAAGAAGTGAGCCTTTAATCCCAGGGAGTGATGGCAAAAACAGAAAGATATATAAGGCGTGGAGACCAGAAACTAGAAGCATTTACCTGGTTAAGCATTTGGTTGGTTAAGCTTTTAGGCTTTAGAGCTGTAGTTCAGTTGAGACCCATTCTGGATGAGGACTCAGAGGCTTCCAGTCTGAGGAAACAGGATCAGCTGAGGAACTGGCAAGATGAGGTAGCTGTGGCTTGTTCTGCTTCTCTGATCCTCCAGCTTTCACCCCAATAACTGGCCTCAGGTTAGATTTTATTAATAAGAACTTTTAAGATTCCTGCTACACATCCCTCTAGAGATGGACTAGACCCTAGAAATGTCAATCAAAATAAAACCTTTCCCCACTAAGTGGCTTTAATCAGAGTATTTTATCACAGCAAGAGGAAAAGAAACTACGACAGACAGATGTATAACATGCATGGATATTTGATTTTTGATAGCACTGAGTGGGTTAATTGTGAAAGGATTTATCTTTCATAGCCATAGTAAGATGACTTGTAATTAAGAATGAAAAAGGAGACTGTTGTATTTCCTCACACCATGAAAATCAATACAGGACTGTGGCACTCTGAAAGAGAAGTAGCCTCTACAGGCTCATGTGTTGGATCATTTGGTCTCCATTGGTGGCAGAGTTTTGGGAGGGTATGGGACTTTTAGAAGGTGGGAGCCATGCTACAGGAAGTGTCGCTGTTGGCAGGCTTGGAGAATGTGTAGCTTTGCTCTACTTCCTGTTTGTTTTCTCTGCTTCCTTTGGGGAGCTGACATGTGATCTCTCTTTCCTGTTCTTGCTGCTTGTTGCCATGCCAGCCTTACAATTATAGACTGCCCCTGTGGAGCTATATGCCAGGATAAACTCTCTTCCACACATTGCGTTTGGCCATGGTATTTTATCACAGCAACTAACAGGGACACCTGCAATCTCAACACCTAGAGGGATTTTTTTTTTTTTTTTTTGAGACAGGGTCTCTTGTTGCCTTGTTGCTCAGGTAGGCTTGACTGGCTGCCCAGGAGATCCCAGGGCTTCTGTCTCCACAGGTTCCCATCACTTGGATGACAAGTGTGTCACCATGCATGCTTGGCTTTTTTAAACAGGTCTGGGGGCTTGAACTCAGGTCCTCACGCTTGTAAGACTTTGTGTCTCCATGGCCATGGTTTTTATGTATTCTTTGAGAATTTCATACAATATATTTGTATCATACTCTTTCACCTCCTCCAACTTCTCCCTGATACTCATCCACCTCCTAAACTCATGTTCTTTCTCCCTTAAGAAAACAAAAACAAGGGGTTGGGGATTTAGCTCAGTAGAGTGCTTGCTTGCCTAGCAAGCACAAGGCCCTGGGTTCGGTCCTCAGCTCTGGAAAAAAAAGAAAGAAAGAAAGAAAGAAAGAAAGAAAGAAAGAAAGAAAGAAAGAGAGAAAACAAAAGCAAAAACAGAACAACAGCAAAAAAGCACAAGAAAACATGGAGTTTGATTGTATTGGCTAACTACTTCTGAGCATGGGGCATTCCATGGAGTGTGCTTGATATACCCACTGAAGTGAAAACTGACTTTTTCTCCCCAGGCAGCTATAATTACAAATAGATTCTTGTCTAGGTGGGAATTTTTACCTATGTTCCTTCCCTACTGGAATTTTTGTCTGGTTTGAATTTGTGCATGTCCTGTGTATGCTCTCGCAGTTTCTAGAGTCCAGGTGTGTACCAGTCCTGATGCATCTAGAACACACTGTCTCTTTGGATTCATCCACCACCTCTGGCTCATACAATCTTCTTGCTTCCTCTTCCTTCTAGATCTGAGCCTTGAGGGGAGGGGTTTGATGACGACATCCCATTTAGGACTGAGTGCTCCAAAGTCTCTCATTCTCCGCACACTGTCCAGTTGTGGGTCTCTGTGTTAATTCCCACTGACTGCAGGAAGCAGCTTCTCCAAGTGTTGAGTGAGGTTCTCATCTCTGGGTGTAGCGATATGCCATTAGAGGTTGTTTTATGGCTATTGTTATTTAGCAGAATAATTGTAGGTTTTCCCCTAGTGGCCATTGTTGCTGGAGGGCTTCTCTCCAGGTTCCTCCAAGCCCCGCAGTCCCACAATCCACGTATAAAATAATCACTCAGACGCTTATATTACTTATAAACTGTATGGCCGTAGCAGGCTTCTTGCTAACTGTTCTTATATCTTAAATTAACCCATTTCTATAAATCTATACCTTGCCTTGTGGCTGGTGGCTTACCAGTGTCTTTACATGCTGCTTGTCCTGGCGGTGGCTGCAGTCTCTCTCCCTCCTTCTTCCTGTTTCCCCAATTCTCCTCTCTCCTTGTCCCACCTATACTTCCTGTCTGGTCACTGGCCATCAGTGTTTTATTTATATAGAGCGATATCCACAGCAGGCCATGAATACTTTCAAGGATCAGGTACTCACTGTCCATTTCTTTCCCAGTAAGCTTGCGCTAATTTTCATTTTGGTCCAAAGGCGCATGGGAATGCCAGTCTACCAATCCATGCACTAGCATTTTAAAGGGTTTTGCCAAACAAAATAGCTCCCAGAGGCCTCTTGTTTTCATTAGAACCAAATTTATCTTTATTAAAGAGATTAAGCTTTTTGCATAGCTTTATTAACTAGTTGACTCTCCTCTTCTGCTCCTGTTTCCATTATAGCATCTGTGCTTTTTCTGTTCTCATGGGGAATATGGCTGCCAGATGCTTTTCTAACAGAGTATGCGCTCTTCCCCAGGGACACTAGCTGTAAGGGAGAAAAGTGACGGCTTCTGCTTCCATGGCCCACAGTCCCAGAAACAGGGTCTACAACTGTGTTGCTGACTGTAAGTAAGCTCTCTGGGTCATGCACTGTTCCAGTTTATAGTCACTACGGGGTAGTATCATGCCTGAAGCAGTACCCTGGGCTGGACCTTGAGTCTTCTCCAAAGGCTCAAACACTGGAGGATTGGTCTGTAGTCTTGTGCTTTTGGGAACTGATGGAAACTGGTGCCTGTGTCTGAGTTTGTGTATGGACACCTGCACACAGGGAGACAGAGGTCAGTCTCAGCTGTCACTCATCAGGTGTTCTCTACCTTGTTTTCTGCAACAAGGTCTCTCATCGGCCTGGAATTGGTCAGTCTAGTCAGGTTGGCCAACGCGCCCCAGAGACCAGCCAGTCCCTAGTGTTGGGCTGACATGTGTGCTCCATTATACTTGCTTATTTATCTA